GTGCCAAGTTTTGACTCCATCTGAGACCTACTAAATCAGAAAGGCTGGAGGTGGAGCCCAGCACTGTGTGCATAACAAGCTCGGCAGGTCCAGGTGATGACAGTGCTCACTCAAGACAGAGAGGCCCTGGTGTGGAGTGTGACACACGTGACAGGGCTCAAAGGATGCAACAGTCAGACCACAGAGGTGAGGGTTTTGCTTTTACACCGAAAAACAGGGAATCCCCAGGTGGTCCCATCATCACATTAAGAGTTCATATTTATCCCCTGGCCTCTCAGGGAGCCCACTGCCTCAGTGGTGGCCTGAGTGAGGTCACCACACCTCCAGAAGGCTGGTTGAGCAGTCTGGAAGGTTTGGCTGACCTGGTTTGGAGCACACAGCATGTAATATTGGGAGTACACGAGGCTCAACCATTTCATTTACTAATAGGAAAAAAAAAAATGAAAGTATTTCTCTAGTCAAAGGAAAATAGAGCCAACTTCTGTAAAGCAATTGCAAACATACGTGGATTTTTTAAAAAAGCAAATCTTGTAAATGGTTAAAGTAAAATGAGTCTTTATATTTTAGATGGTTTGAAACCACAGTAGGTTTGGTAAAACAAGGAGTGTGGGTTTGTCCAGGAGAGAGAGAATACCCTCTCATATGTTTACTGGTTTCCTAGGGATTACTGGGCTTAAAAAGTCTTGTTGAGAAATATTTTTTCTACCTGTTTGAGCACTGCTTTCGTTGCATTGATCTCTTGCTCATCACCTTGCTCCTGCCTGCCATGTGAAGCCTGCCTTTTTTTTGTTACAGCCTCAGTTCTGGGCTCTTTCCCAGACTCAACCTCCTTTCTTAGTTTGGCCCAATCCCACCTTTCTAAGCTCATCCCAGAATTCCTACCAACACCAGCGGTGTCTCCTCCAGAAAGTCTTTCAGCTCACACCACCCTCTTGCTCACCACCATGCCCTTGCTCAGCCTGTTTGCCTTCCTACAGTGCCTTTCTCTTCCCTGAGTCAAACTGTTCATCCTTCTTCATCTAGAACCTCCTAGTTCACACTAGACTCTTGTTTCTCCAGCTCCAATGTTTGTAGGCTCTACTACTAATTTAGTGGCTAAATATACACTGCCTTGCAGTTTTTAGTGATTGGCTCTCTAGCTGGTCCCTTCCATGGCAGGAAGCTTAAAGTCAACCTCCTTTGGATTCTCCCTGAGAACAGGTTTGGGGCTAGTTGCAGGGAAAATAAACATATTGCATCGCTGCTTGCTAGAGTAGAGATTTGGTGCTTTCGGTATTTATGAACTGAAATGAGGGGTTTTCAACTGTGTTCCAGGGAATACCAGCTGGATATGAAGTTCATGGTTCTGTTCACCATATTTATGACTTTTACCATCTTAGATTGCGGTGCTCACCCCCGGGGGCAGCAGCTCCTTCCTGCTACCAGTGTTGTTCTCAGTTAAAGACAACTGTTCACACAGGAAAGGAGAAGGGCGTATTTATTACTCTTGCTCTTGAAATTTCAATGCTTTGTCCATTGAGGGGAGTATGTAAAGAAACATGAGGAATAAGTTAATTAAAACACACTGAAAGGGGAGGAAAGAAGATCCACAAAGAGAAGGGAGTTAAAGAGAGTTTGACATTCTGAGAGCACTCAGTTTTTCTCTTGGCCATTTCCAGTCAGTTTGTTGGGGCCACAGCTGTGGTCCATTACTGTCCTGTTCTTTCAGCTGATCATTCAGACACCAGTGCCTCTCTTAGACACTCATGACGCTGGAACACTCTTGCCAGTATAGAAGGTGCAGGGCAGATGGATGAGACACTCATGGTTAAAAATATGGGTAATCCTTACTCTTTTGCCAGATGCATTTCAGGTTTTTTTGTCCCATGAATGTATATATACAAACATGAAAACTTTTAAGAGTGAAACCTTAATGAAACTTTTTATTACTTTCACATAATTAATCATGTACATCTTCATTTTTAGCAGCTAATAAATAATTCCTTAGGATGGAGGTACCATAATGTTTTAACCATTTTTTTAAAAATATTTAGGATTGTAAATTTTTTTATAAATAAAGCTTTAGTGAATATGCTTTACATATAGATGTCTTTGGATACTAGTGTGATGATTTTCTTAGGATAAATCCTCACAAGCCAACTTACTAGGTCAGAGTATGCATTCTATTAAGACTGGTCCTGCAAATTGCCAAAATGCTGTAAGTATCCATTCCTAAGATCCTTGCTAACAGTAAAGAAACTATTCATGTTTTTAATCTGATACATTCTTACTGTATATGACACATTCTTACTTTGATACAAGCTAGTGTTTTTATAGCAGTAATAAATACAGAATAGCCAGGCATTAGTTTGCACTCGCAAGAGAGAAAAATGTGATAGGTCTCACCCCTCTGGAGACAGTGTAGAAGGCTGCAAAGCTTCGGGAATCAGTGTCTGACTTGTGTTTCCTGCCCTTAAGACCAGCTTCTTCATAAGAGATGCTCTGGATGTAATGAAGCCGCCAATCACGTTTTACCCACACCCCAGTCTCCCTACTCTGCAGCATTTTGTTTCTATCTGTCCATTCTGCTCCTCACTTTCTTCACAACCCAAACCAGACTGCATCTCACATCCTTTACCTCTACAAAACTACATTCAGGAAATGATCAGGTATTAGTCAGTCCCACTTAGCTTAAATTGAAATCAACAAGCCCGTTCTTCCTAGTTGTTTGCTTTTAAAATTTATCCTTAATAGTGCAAAAAGAGCATTGTTCTTAATGAAACAAATATATCAACTGAAAGCCTTTTTTTTTTTTTTTTTGCTTTTAGCAACCCATACAAAGCAATTACATGGAGTCTGTATCAGTAGAATTAATTTTTAAAAAATTTTTTAATTTTTTATTTTTTCCATTTATTTTCATTAGTTGGAGGCTAATTACTTTACAATATTGTAGTGGTTTTTGCCATACATTGACATGAATCAGCCATGGATTTACATGTGTTCCCCATCCTGATCCCCCCTCCCGCCTCCCTCTCCATCCCATCCCTCTGGGTCTTCCCAGTGCACCAGCCCTGAGCACTTGTCTCATGCATCCAACCTGGGCTGGCGATCTGTTTCACACTTGATAGTATACTTGTTTCAATGCTGTTCTCTCAGAACATCCCACCCTCGCCTTCTCCCACAGAGTCTAAAAGTCTGTTCTGTACATCTGTGTCTCTATTTCTGTTTTGCATATAGGGTTATCGAATTAAGATGCACCTGACTGCCTGGGGAATTGCAACCTTCCACACAGACCATTGCCCAGGTTAATGCTAAGGAAGGGACAAGAAGGGGCTTCCCAGGGGTGCTAGAGGTAAAGAACATGCCTGCCAATGCAGGAGACATAAGAAGCAGTTTTGATCCCTGGATTGAGAATATCCCTTGGGGAAGGAAATGGCAACCCACTCCAGTATTCTTGCCTGGAGAATCCCATGGACAGAGAAGTCTGGTGGGCTACAGTCCGTAGGTTTGCACAGAGTTGGGGATGACTGAAGCAACTTAACATGCACACACACAAGGGACAAGAGAGAGAGGGACCATGTGGGAAGGATGAGTGAGTCTCCTTGCCATGGGTTTCAGAAAAGTGACATGACTGCTATGTGTGTTTCAGACCCATTTCTCAGTCTGTGCTGGTGGTCCACTGGTAAACTAGCTCTCCGAGGGGCAAAATGAGCCTGATTTGTAACATTTGCTGATTTCCACAGCACATTTCAAGCTACTAAACAATTTAACTGGCTCATCATTTTCCTGACTGTTTAACAGTCTCAATGGTTGCCCTCACAATTGGATCTTCTTTTAAAGCTGTATTCAGGGGCCACCCCTGTCTCCTGTGTTTATTATCATGCACACATTGGAGGAATTGCCTCTCAATATTACATACATGTTAGACATCCCATGAAATCATTTTGTGATTGTGGCAGTGGACTGCTAACACTGTTTGAGATGTGAGGTTACATCATCTCTTCTGTATTTGATGGTTAACGACACTGGGCTATATCTAGATGCTCACTGGGGTTTTAGGTTCACAGTTCTTTGATGAGAAAAATGGGGGTCCTGCTGCTTTAGGAGCAGTAGCTTTTCTTTGAGAAAGAAAATATATTTCAGACCCCTTAATTTTCACAACACTGTGTCAATTCTGGCGCCACATAACTGACAAATAGGGAACTCTTTCTGTCTAGCAATGAAGACAATATGAAAGAAGATTCTTGTGAGGTCACAGACACACATCCTTTTCTAGATCATAGTGTCTCACAGTCTGGTGGCATGACAGCTGTCAAGGGAGTTTCAACAGTGTTGATTTCTGGTCCTCTGCTCTCCATAATCTGATTCAGTAGGTCTGGGTCCATCCAAGAATCTACATATTATTAACAGTTCAGCTGAATGTGGTGCTGATTCTGGGGTGATGGTGGGGACACGCTTGGAGGCCCTGGTCTTGCCTCCTCTGACTCTCACCCTTCTGCTAAATTTGGTCATCATACATGAGTATTAGACCTGTAGAGTCCTCCTCACTTAGCTGCAAATCAATATTCCATACCCTTGGCTTTTATCAAACCCCTTGTGGCTCAGATGGTAAAGAATCTGCCTGCTATGTGGGAAACCCGAGTTCAATTCCTGGGTTGGGAAGTTCTCCTGGAGTAGGAAATGGCAACACACTCCAGTATTTTATCTAGAGAATTCCATGGACAGAAGAGCCTGGCAGGCTACAGTCCATGGGGTTGCAGAGTTGGACGCGACTGAGCAACTAACACACACAAGAACCAGCCATATGAAATGTATGTTTTTGCTCACATTTAGATTTAATAATAAATTTCTTTCGGAGTTTAGTTTTCATGGGGAAAAACTCGTCTTTATTATCTGAAGAGGGAGCCATCACATTTTGTTTTAGCCCCTAAGATGTGAGAATGAACCAAATTTAGCGTTTAATAACAATACTTGCCCACCCCTGGTTCCTGGCATAATTGCAACTGCCTTTTTCTCCACAGTTTCTGGTGTCTTGGCGTTTGTTTTAAGGTGCTTTAAGTCCTTTAAGGAAGTATACAACAAAGCAAAAAATAGATGAAACAGAGGGAGATTTGTTAGATATCATTGTACTAACAAGAGATATAATTTTTCTCTTGGTTCATCCAAAGCTGTAGACTAATAAAGGACTTCAAAACACCGTTTTCCCATGATTTCTTTTCTCTGTTTATGGACTATAGTTGCTTTACAATGCTATGTTAGTTTCTGCTGTGCAATGAAGTGGCTCAGCTTATGTGTATATATATGCCCCTCCCTCCTGGGGCTGCCTCCCACCCCCACCCCCATTCCACCCTCCTATGTTACCACAGAGCGCTGGGCTGAGCTCCCTGTGCCACCCAGCAGCCTCTCACTCACTATTTATTTTACACATGGTATGTATGTATGTCAGTGCTATTCTCTGAATCCATCCCACACTCCCTTTCCTCTGCTCTATCCGCACGTCCATTCTCTATGCCTGTATCTCTATTCTTGTCCTGCAAATAGGTTCAACTGTACTATATTTTTGGATTCCACATGTATACGTTAATAAATGTTATTTGTTTTTCTCTTTCTGACTTACTTCACTCTGCGTGACAGCCCATCATTTCTTTTGTCTTCTAACTTCAGGTTCCTTTCCCTCCTACCTTCACCAGCATAGGGCTGACCATGCCACCAATAGTCATCAACGTGACCATGGAGTGAAGGCTTGTGTTCCCCCACATTCACAGGCTGAAGCTGTAACTCGTCACATGATGGTATTTGGAGGTGGAACCTGTGGGAGGTAATTAGATTAGGCCATGAAAGGGGGTTAGACTGGGTTAGAAGGAGGTTAGATGAGGTCATAAAGGTGAGCCCCTCATGATGCAGTTAGTGGCCTCACAAGAAGAGGAAGGGATGGGTGCTGGGTGGTGGGAGGGAAGAAAGAGAGAGAACTCTACCTGCACACACCCAGGAAAGGTCATGTGAGGACATAGCGAGAAGGCAGTCATCTCCAAGCCGGGAGGAGAGACCCCATGCAGGACCTAAGTGGCCCCCACCATGACCTTGGACTTCCCAGCTTCTGGAACGGTGGGAAGTGCATGTCTGTTGTTTAAGCTGCCCAGTCAATGGTATTCAGTGATGCCAACCTGAGCTAAAACAAACAGTGCGTGTGGGTGCCTGCTGTGTGACCAGTACTGTTTTGACCGCTCTTTTTCTGACAAGGGGAAACATAGGGCAGATTTCTAAAACTGGACAAGTCTAACTTTGACACTCACGGGAGGCCTGGTCTCTGTGGCTTTTTCTGACACAGTTTCCTGGGTTTACAAACGTCCCAGGAGAAAGTGAGATCCTTCCTCACACCGAAGAGAAGAGCTACCAAATCCTGCCCATCACCTCACTCTCACTACAGTGGGCGAACTCCTCTGTAGACCTCTAGCAAGACGACGTGAGCCCGAGTTCTGTGAAATACTGCCTGTCACACTGGTGTGGCCACAGCTCTCAGCTGTTTCCCAGTGAAGAACCTTTTTCAATTTTGAGTCATCCAGGGTTTCTCAGCCAATTTGAGCATAGGACCCCTCCCTTTTAATTTTTACTTTTTGAACAGTGCCTGTGAGAAATCAGCAAAGGGCTGTTCTCAATCACAGTGGTCTCTGCCAAGCTCCAGCCATGGCGCTCCCCTCTCAGAGGCGCATACAGCTGGTGTGTTGGTTTTAACACCAACACTGATGTCAGCTTCTCGTCTGTCTTCCGTGAAAGAGACAGCTTCACCATTGAAAAAGATGCTTGTTTTGTTTCTAAGTCAAATAGAGATGCTTCTAGAACTGTAAGACAATTAAATTGTAATGAGGCTATCTGTAGTATAAGGCCAGAGTGGTGTACTGGTGGGAGATGTCATTAAAAAAAAAATGGTTGGAAGGAAATATTAGAGATCTGAAAGTCTGAAAGGAGAGTTGGGAAATGGGGATTTGTTGTTTAATGTTTATAGAGTTTCAGTCCCGCAAGTTGTAAATTTTCTGGAGATTTGTTTTTCTGCAATGTGATTATATCTCACGTTACTGAACTGTGCATTTAAAAATGGTCAATTTCATATTATGTATTTTTATAGTTTTTCTTTTGAAACCACATTTCAAAAGAAAAAACAGAAAGGTAAGAAAGGAAGGATGAGGGAGAGGAAACACATATCTGGAAAGTAAATGCTTAAAATGAAGTGTTAGATTTACCTGTATCCAGAATATAACCATAACAACAGCATCTCTCTCTCTCTCTCTCTCTCTCTCTCTCTCTCTCTCATTTGTGTTTCTTCTCCATGTCCTTTTTTCTCTCATCATTTTGATCTATAGAAACTACTGGAAGACTAGACAAAACTAAGGTGGCCAGATAGCCACGAGGTCATAATCATTTTGGCTACTCTTTATTCAGGAGACTGAGGGCTCCTTGCTTTTTTTTTCCACTAGTCCTCAAAATATCTCAAGTAGTTTGAGGATTTGTGATTCCTCCAATGCTAAGTCACTGCTTCAGGCCCAAGGTTAAGGATAGGGGAATAATTAATTAATTTATTTCATATGTTGGGTCAGAGCCAGGTCTTTATGCTGAATTACCCTTTCGATTAAGAAGTTCTGCCAAAAAACCCTGTGGCAATGCCATCCGATGTGAGATTGGAACAATTTCCTGGAAACAAGTTCTTCTGTACTGTTTCTAGACTTCACCAGTCAGAATGAGAATGGTCCTCTCCTTCACATGAGACTCAAAACACTAGGTGAGACTTGAGCCAAAGGCAATAATAATTAATCCTGTAATAACTAACATTTTACATCATATTTGACATTTTAGAAACTCTTCTGTTTAAATCATCTCATGTGGTCCTGAAAAAACCACTGGAGCATCCCCCATTGGATTCAGAAAGGATACATGCTTGCCCAGAACACTTAGTTATCTGTTTAAAGTTATAGAAACAGTGGTGGTGTAAAGGTTTGAACACTGGAGGGCAGGAAGTAGCTTGGTGGTCTCAAACCCTTTAAAGCTGTGTTGGTAAAATCAAGAAGTTTGCTTATGGAATGGACCCACAAATAAATGCTATTTGAGCTCTGACTTCTTGTTTGACCTCACTAACCTGTCATGCTCAACTGTTTTCAAGGATCTCACCAGGCCACGTGGGCTACTAACCACAACTCAGTTGTAAGTGTGGTTGAGATCCTGGAGAATTTCTGTAATTCTAATAAGCATTCATTTTCCCAGGATGAGGGCCAGCACAGGGGGAGTGCTTCTTTTTGGTTCCAGCCTGCAAACTCATGCCCTGCATGCTGCCAACAATCTAGCGAGAGTGCCTCCCAGGTCCCAGGGTGGAAAGTTGATGATGTAGAGGATACAATGGGCTTTAACCTGTGAACCAGTTTAGCTACACAGGGACTATGGTGAGAAGCAGCTGGGTTTCTGGCCATTCTGGTGATGGAGCTTTTCTGTGTGTGAACAAAAATCTCTAAAAGGTGGTTCTGCTCTCTATCTGGGGGGCAAAAATCAAGCTTCAGTGGCAAGGGGTGACTTATACAGCTCATCACTCATGACTTCAGTCTCTTCCACCACTGGGTATTTCCTCTTAACTTATTCTTGCCCTAGTGGGAAAGGTAGATTTCAACCCAAACCCTGTTCTAGTGAGAGCTACCTTAGGTGATGAATGTAATGACCACAAACCACAGATCCTTTTAATCTGTCACCATCCTCTTTTTCACTCTCATCTCTTACAGTGTCCCCCCAGCACATTATACATGGTCACAGTAAGCTAAAGATGGGATGCCTGTGTCCCGCCAAAATTTATATGTTAAAACCTAACCCCCAGTGATGCTGTTAGAAGACGGGGTCCTTGCCAGGCAATGAGGTCATGAGGGTGGAGCTCCCATGATGGAATTAGTGCCCTTTTAAGACACCCCAGAGGTCTCTTTGCCCCTCCACCATGTAAGGACACAGCAAGAAGACAGCCATCTATGAACCAGGAAGTGTGTCCTCACCAGATACAGAATCTACTGGAGCCCTGGTCATGAACTTCTAGCCTCCAGAACTGTGATAAGTGAATTTCTGTTGTTAAGCTGCCCAGTCCATATTATTCTATTATAATAGCCAATGTCATGCTGGTTCTCATCTTTGTTCTTTGCTCTTAATGTTCCCTCTGCCTGGAATTTTGGTATCCCTAACCCCACCTGTAGAATTATCACTTACCTTTTAAGACTCATTCAAAAGGTCTTACCCTTTTGTACTCCCACAGAACTTGGCATATACTCATATTATAGAACTGATCCAAATTCCACCTGATTTTTTTCCCAGCTCATCATCAGGGACTCTATTTGTCAGCCTGCTAGTACACTTCCTGCATATAGTAGGTACTCAGTACTATTGGCTGCATGGAGTTGATAACATGCAACTTAGGGCTTGTGATGAAAGCTCCAATGGAACCAGAGTATCAGACACATGTCCTAAGGGAGGCAGTCATTTATATCCACAATCTCCCATCAGGACCCCTCCTTCATTGCCCTTGAAGAAGAGTAAGTAGCCAACTCACTTTCAGAGGAGGGGTCCTAATAGGTACAATGTGCTCTAGAATGTTCCAGTGCTATCAGGTTTAGTGACAAAGAGGACCACAGCTGTATGCACCAGGAAGTAGAAAGCACCAGGCTGAACATCATCAGGGACTCTATTTGTCAGCCTGCTAGTACACTTCCTGCATATAGTAGGTACTCAGTACTATTGGCTGCATGGAGTTGATAACATGCAACTCAGGGCTTGTGATGAAAGCTCCAATGGAACCAGAGTATCAGACACATGTCCTAAGGGAGGCAGTCATTTATATCCACAATCTCCCATCAGGACCCTTCCTTCATTGCCCTTGAAGAAGAGTAAGTAGCCAACTCACTTTCAGAGGAGGGGTCCTAATAAGTACAATGTGCTCTAGAATGTTCCAGTGCTATCAGGTTTAGTGACAAAGAGGACCACAGCTGTATGCACCAGGAAGTAGAAAGCACCAGGCTGAACCAGAGTAGCCTACCATCTCCAGGCACAGATCCTTCAGGACATTTCTGTCCTCCCCCGG